TAACATGCACAGAGTGTAGAGTGAAGGCACACAAACGTACTATATATCTCAGAGAGTGCGATAGCACTCTCTATAGAGAGATACAATGAATAAATGAATGGCACAACTATTGCAATAATACATAAACTCAGCTGAAGTTTTTACTCCAACAGCCGCCATAAGACTGATATGAAGAGACATTTCTTGAGTTATACCCACTTCCTACTTTGCCCCGTAACCTTTCAACTTCGGCCCATAAGACACTTCTGCGGCCAATGACCATCAATTAGTTAATCACGTGAAATAATGTGGAAGAACGGTAAGAGATGGGTGTTGAAAGTGAGTAATAGAAATCACCATTACCGCCATTTCCTTGGCAGCTACCTCTTCATACAAAATCACTCTAACCATCACACAGCGTATACTATGTTTTAACTATATACATATAGAGTTCTTAAAGCTTATACAAAACTTTTGGTAAGATAATAATGAATACTGCGATAATATGTTATGTTATAAATAAATCGTGTGAAAGTTAGGATTTAGTGTTATTTATTATAGCATACACCTCCACATTTTTTTAAGTTCATAACCTGGAGAAAGGACGGGTACCTCAGCTTGTTGTATACAAAAGTGCAATAAATTATATAAATATATTTATGTATTTCATGAAGTAGTATTTATTTATTGTTCTAAAATGTTTCTGTAATTGTATTATACTATTGTGATTGTGCATTTTGTGAATATTTTTTCTATCCATTGTGAACCTATTAGTGTCGAGTATTTCTTCTAGATAATCATAGATATCAATATACTTCATAGTCTGGTATTCCCCAGGCCTACGGTTAGCAGCTTTTAGTCTTAGTTCATCGAATATGCTATTAATCATGAGAACATTTACTTTGGGATCACTACAACCTTACCACAAGTACAACTATGAATTACATAATATGATTACTAGCACATGGTTTAAAGTAATCAAATGTACCAAATAGTATTTTAGTTTCTCTGTCAGAAGTGTAGATATCATAATAACCGGTTAAGACTATAAAATAGTAATAACATACTATCATGATGGACTAAGTATTTATATTCTTTTATACAAGGCTATCCCTAATTTTGAATTATTGATCAGAGGGAAGGCAGCCAGTCAGCAACACCTACCAACCACCATACAACGTTAAGGGATTGACTGTCACTCTTATAACGCAAACACAGCTTAAAGTGTAGAGAAATATTTTGTCAACTTCAAAATTAAAAGCTTTAACATAGGGCCAACTTGTGTCCTAAGAGAATTAGAAAACCTGTATGTAAGAAGGGTGGTGAAATATAGGGAGAATGACTTCAAATTTAGCTACTTTTTAATATGTAATGAGTGAACTCACTATTTTACTTCTGTCTTTATCAACTGGGTTAGTTTCATACTTGTGTATCTTATGTAATGTGAAATTCATCTTGTAAGATCTATAAATTGGTGTTAGGTACGATTTGATGACAGACGTCAAGAGACTTGTGCAACTGGTAAGTGTGTGGTACGTTTTTGCGCCGGACAAACAAAATTAATCAGTTCCAGCATTTGATGATTAAGCTGGCAAAATGAGTATGATAAAACTTCAGCATAGCTAATGAATTCTGGTATTAAATAAAAAAAGTCTAATCGATACTAACATGAAGCAGACAAAATATAGATCTGAAATGCTTTTCTTCACCTCTGACTTGAAATTCGTAATGGACCAAGCATGATGAATATGTGAAACAGCATCTGTAGAAAAATGTTATATATTTCACGTTTTATATTATACAATTGCATAGAAATTATTTGGAACTTTAGGCTTAAGAGTTATACAATAACTACTGGTAGAAGTAATATATCATTTTTCGTGGTGTATTTATTTCTAGAAACAATTAAATGTCTATAAGGTATATGAGTAGCCTTACATTTTCTTATCAGTATTAATAAACTCTAATGAGTCTCTGAACGTTTGGTTTGATTAGTTTGCCTCTGTTATTACAAGCATTTTTGTTTTCTTCTTTAGATACTATAGTTACATTTACAGAAATAATAGGTAAATACTATGTTTGAAACTTTTAGTAGAAAATTAAAAGTGTATTAGTTAAAGCTGCTACGGGCTTATTTTTAGTACAGGATACGTGGAATATTTAAAAGTGTAAAAAAATGTGTCTTGTGATAACAGCTGGCGTTTATCTGTCATTCGTTTTACAGAAAGAAAATTGATCGCTTCAAAACTTGATTCATGAAGTACGTAAAAAACTATCACTTTTGCAAAGATGGTTGCTACAGTGACATGTCCAATACACGTACTACAATTTATGATTTACTGCATTAGCTATTTGTACAGTATGGTGTTTGTTGAGGCCTAATGTTTTTGTTATTACGTCAGTTTTCATTACAAAGAGTTAGTCGAATGGAATGGATTCTTTCTCAGTCACGTGCGTTGGATATTCAAAGGATAGTGGCTCATTGACAAAATAGGGCAATTTTCAAGCACCATGAGGCATGTTTTAATTTATGGTGGGGGGGGGGGGGTTAGTGAGACAGTGGGTTGCTTCTTGTACACATAGAAAGCCATAATAAACAAAGAGATCAGTAGGCTTTATAAACACTTAAAATCTAAAACTAAACAGTGAATTATTGCTCATTAATACTTATTAGCATGTCACAATTGTTATTATTTATTTATGTAAAGAACTAAAAATCCCCCCATTTCATTCATTTTAAAGCTGATTATTATTATTTTTTTGCTCATTTCTGTTTCTGTTTCTCATTGTTCGGTTAATTGGCATTTTATTATTAGTTTCTGATGCAATGAGTATTACATTTTGGAGTTCTTTCTGATAGGTTTATTAATACATTAGTTTTTTTTTTGGTAAAATGAGTTTTTCTTAAATTTATTGTTACCAACTCTCATTCCCAAATTTACAGAATGGGCATTAGTACTTAATTAAACTGCCTAACCTAGTCCCTAATAGTAAACCCACTAGTTACTTAAAAACAATATAATGGTATGTCTAATAGGAAAAATATGGCACATATGAAAATGTTTCGTTGAAACAAAATATAAATATACATTTGCTAGTGACAAACCTGTCCTTTATTCCAAGATGCATTACCTTCGTATTCCTACTTTCTGTTATGTTACAAGTCAAGTCAGAGACCCTGAGATCTAAGAATAGTCTTCCCTGATTTTTTATTGCTAATTAAGGACAAGATGATCAGTAAGCAACACCATCCATCCTTGCGTCTTATCTTATCGAATAGAAGAATTGGTCATAACAAATTATAACGCCCTCACGTATGAAAGTGTGGAGCTTATTCAGTGGTATATTGTGGTTCGAACCTTAGATTCAGACTTTTGGATCCGCAGCCCACTACACTAGCCATTAGGTAAAACCCAGTTCTAATAATGATACATTTATAGTCAAAGTTTAATGATTTAAGATTACATCACATTTGTTTATTAGCATATCATTCATATATATTTATGGCATCACTTTTTTCCCAAGTTCCTCTGGGCTTGGTGTGAAAATTTGCCAGATCCGGTGATTAGGAAATACTATTTACAACATGATTTTATGTTTTCCTGATTTTCTTCCTTTCTGCTTGTAATATACCACACACAACACACCAGGTTAAATGTGTAGACTGATTCTTTGGATATTAAGGCTGTTTGATTCTACATTATACATATACTAACTTCTAAAGGGTTAGTAACAGACACGAGTTCTAGATTTGGTAACAGGAGATGTCGTCAACAGGAAACACAAATTTATCTATGATTTCTTAAATGTAAAATATATAATAAGGGCATATAACTATCGGTAGCAGTCGGAGTTAACTGAACTACTGTAATGCAATGGTTTTACAGCACAGTTCGCTACAGGTTGTGACGTGTAGGTAACTTCTAAGCCATTGGTTGGTTTATTATTGCGAAATGGGCTGACGCATCTCCGTTATCGTAACGTCACCCCGACCGCGTGTAATTTTAGTGTCAGCAAATAAATGCACACCAGGAAGTATTACTGGAATCTTAGGGTTTTCCCAATGTTTATGGAAAATGCTATCCAAAGTACAATCAAAATAAAAATTATGTTTGGGAGATAAATGTTTTTCAGAGTTTTTGTTTGTCTTCTGTTCCTAGAATAAAAGTAGCCGAACCGGTTCAACACGCGTCTACAAACAATCTCGTTCCACTCGTCTATACCACACTCGGTCGTCCAGTGTAGAGAATAAACTTTTGGAGGAAGTATACGACATACCGCTCGAAGATTAAACGTTGCTGTATTCTTCGTAAAACTTCGCGTTGAGAACTCAAGAAAAAATATTGTTATAATGGGCCTCTCTGTAAAAGTATTAGTAACCAGTTTAACTGTTGTATTTATTTTGGTGGTCGTTGCAGAGTCCGAGAAAGAATTGAATCTGGAACCTTTCGCACGAGTAGCTTTTAATAAGTATGTTTCTTTGTTCTCGAGATCATCAGTGAGTCCGACCAACAAGTTCGATTTTGAGAAGGACTTCAAACTGTTTGTAGAAGAACTTAGAAGTGGGGTATTGTTGGAACAGCTAGGCAACAACAAAGGAGAAAGTAACTGTACGTCTCTTCTACGATCGACGTTTACAGATTCAGATGTTTTATGTCAAGCAGTCACACAGGTAGTTTTAGCCTAATATACTATTTTGTTTCATATTTTCAGTTCCGATATCTGTTGAGCATGCAACCGTTATCATCTTAATCGAATGTTTTTGTATGCTCAGAAGTTAGTTATTATTAGATAAATGTTTCTAGCTTGTTTGTTTTTTACACGTTTAATTATTTTACAAATTGAAAATGAATGAAATTAGCTTTAACTTCCTTTTAACTTTATACATTTCAAGAAAACTTGTTCTATAAAAACGCTTATAATACTACCCCTTTTTTCATCCTCCCCTCAAAAAAAGTTAGTATAAACGGCAAATAATCATTCACAATTAAAAAAAGCAAAACAACAACAACAACTATTCTGATAAATCGTTTTGACATTTGATGACAGATCAGTGTTGTTTTAGGTAAGTTTTGTGTTGTAGAAATTTACTAGTTGCGACAGTAATGTGCATTATATCTAAGAAAAACGTACTTTTTTCGATTTTTGTTGTGTCGATAGGCTATTCAGAGTCGTGTATACAGGAAATATAGTTTACAGTTGCTATATAAGTCAAATATGTCTGTTCCGACGCCTCTGCTCAAAATTATTAACGGGTGTTGTCACTTTACCTTCCCTGGTTTGTCCGCGTATTTAGTTTTGTTCTTGAATGGTACAAAGTGAAAGAATATATGAATTTTTGTGAGATTAGAAATTAGATGATCTATGATGAATGAATTCGTTTAATTTGATGACCAATTAAGTTTATGTAGGTTATATCATACACACCCAACATTTTATCTGTTGAGCATGCAACCGTTATCATCTTAATCGAGTATAGTCGCCATAAAAAGTATCAAGATTTGTCAGCTTTGGTCACCACATAATTAAGAAAGTTTTTAGACAACCAGATTAAGAGAACTCGTGTCTCATAAAATGCTTGGAAATACATCCATGGACATGGTCACAGAAACGATCCGAGTGTGTGTGTGTAAAAATCTCTACAAACTTATCTAATTTAACTCCAAACGTTAAAGTATTGGCACGCGCTATCACTGGGTATCAGTAATAAATATAATTGCCATGGGAAAGGGGGGGGAAGAACTCTAAAGGAAATCTGACCTTCCGTGTCGAACATGACCCTAATACCAACCAAGACAATTACGTCTCGATTTACAACAGCAGTGCCGTTCACGTACAGTTTTAGCCTAAACGTTTTATTTTATGCAACAAGATCTTGATAGCATACCAGTAAAACACTGAAATTAAATTCAGTGTTAAAAGTCCACGTTATATGTTATCTGAACTTACAATTTTACTTCTCATAAGATATCAGTATTAAGCCTATTACATTTTTAAACACTATGTTCTCTTAGGGATTTTCAAGAATTAGAAGAGTGTAAAATAATTGTATTTTAACCACATTGTATTTGCCACATCCATTGTCGACGACGCATTTCGCTCAGTCCAGAGCTCTTTTAAAACTTTTTGTTTAAAAATGTAATAAGCTTGATGCTGATATATTATGACAAGTATAATTGTAATCATTTTTCGCCAGCTTGTAAAAGACATACACATCAGAACATCTGAACTTGGCCAATACTGGTAAATTGAGGAGACGAGATGCCGCTGATGAGGTATATTGCTCAGTACCAGGTCTTTTTTTTATCCATTTAAATATATAAGTCAGTTTATATACACGACACGAACACACAGTAATTCCTTAACTCTTTCATATATCTTGAACACTGAGACAAGCTGACATCACATTCTGTTGCTACACACTTTTAAAATCTCATTCTCTACGTTTTCCCATGATAAAAAGCTATTTATCACCACTAAGAGAAAGTAACAACAACAACAAAAAAGAAGCAACATTTAATCTCTGTCTAGCGGATTATTCTTTATTTTCTGTTTGTATAAATGTGTGTATATATGGACAGATAATTGTTATTCGAGGACCAGTTGATTCGTTTTTGAAATTTTGTTTACCAATTTATATAACTCGAAATGCACTGACATTATAGATGGATTTGAGATTTTGTGTTATTACATAACACGATTCACACGCTAAGGGTTAAAGAACAAATAATTAAGTGAGCAAAATATGGCTGTAGGGACGGTCACTTTGAAAGTGGTTTGGTCGAAACGTATTCTGCTTACCATAACAGTGAGTGATTCATTCCTTTCTACCTTATCGTATTTTATTTCAATGTATTTGCATTCACGAGAGACCTTTTTAGTTGTTTTTTCTGACAAATGACTAAAATTATCATTTAATTTTCTCACAATTGAAAATTAATGGCATAATTTAAAAAAAATTGACGTGAATTATTACAATTGAAACAACGAAAATATAGAAATGTTCATCTAATAGCTTTACCAATAATGATATACGTCCCATTGCGGACTTGAAAATAGTACAGGTTTTATCGGTTTGGTTAGTTGTATTAATTGTAAGTGTCAATTAACAGCAATTTTATCACGCGTTTCCAAAACAAGTAAGTTTCAGTTTATAAATTATTTACAAATTTTATAACTTTTATTTGAAGATTCCAAATTACGATTGTGCAAATGTATGAAAAATCACAGCGAACTGATATCGCTAAACAACACTGTTTAATCAAATATTGTACTTTTATTATAAACCAAGTTTTATTCACACCTTTTTGTTTTTTTTTCTGCTGGCACGTTTTCTGTCCTGGCTAAGAATGTAATTAAGCCTAACAACAGCTTTTAAAAGGATTGAAATTTTGCCAACTTTTTCGAGCGTGGTGAAATTAACTTGTTTCTGAAAATAAATATTCAAGGACGATATTATAGTTTTATATGTTAATTAGTCGATCGTTCAGACAATAATAATAATAATAATAAAACACGTACGCTGAAGTTTAATCATTTTCGGTGATTTAGTTAAAAATCACACGTATTTAAGATTGTTTGTTTGTTTATTTGTTTTTGAATTTCGCGCAAAGCTAAACGAGGGCTATCTGCGCAGTGTAAAACTACAGGGAAGGCAGCTAGTCATCACCACCCACTGCCAACTCTTGGGATACTCTTTTACCAACGAATAGTGGGATTGACCGTTACATTATAACGCCCCCCACGGTTGAAAGGGCGAGCATGTTTGTTGGGACGGGGGATTCGAACCCGCGACCCTCAGATTGCGAGTCGAGTGCCCTAACCACCTGGCCATGCCGGGCCCGTCTTTAAGAATATCTCAGTATCAAGATTCCCAGTTTGCCCCTGAAGAAGAAAGGTCCATCTTTCGAAAGCGTTCGGGTTATAGGGTTTTTATTCATTTCTTGAACCTACAAGTTTTCTAAAATCACGAATAAGGACCAAGTTGATTGATTATTATCTGTATTACGCAATTTAATCCACAAAAACACGCAAGAAATGCAAATAAACTATATATTTAAACTTTTGTGTGCCCAAATCGTGAAAACGTCCTAAAATTACTTTTCCATGCAGTAAAGTATTATGTCAAAAGGCATACACAAGTTCACTTTACATATTTCGGACCGCTAGAGTTTCACATCCATCATCGGCTGTGACTAATTCGAATTACAGTTCAAGTTGCATGGTAATCCAGTTTCAGAACAGTATATTCTTATATGGAGTTTCTTTAGTTGGTAACAAAGTTACAGTATATTGTTATATGGAATTTCTTTAGTTGGTAACAAAGTTACAATATATTGTTGTATGGAGTTTCTTTAAGTTGGTAACAAAGTTACAGTATATTGTTGTATGGAGTTTCTTTAGTTGGTAACAAAGTTACAGTATATTGTTGTATGGAGTTTCTTTAGTTGGTAACAAAGTTACAATATATTGTTATATGGAGTTTCTTTAGTTGGTAACAAAGTTATGGTATATTGTTATATGGATTTTCTTTAGTTGGTTACAAAGTTATAGTATATTGTTATATGGAGTTTCTTTAGTTGGTTACAAAGTTACAGTATATTGTTATATGGAGTTTCTTTAGTTACAGTATATTGTTATATGGAGTTTCTTTAGTTGGTAACAAAGTTACAGTATATTGTTATATGGAGTTTCTTTAGTTACAGTATATTGTTATATAGAGTTTCTTTAGTTGGTAACAAAGTTACAGTATATTGTTGTATGGAGTTTCTTTAGCTGGTAACAAAGTTACAGTATATTGTTGTATGGAGTTTCTTTAGCTGGTAACAAAGTTACAGTATATTGTTATATGGAGTTTCTTTAGTTGATAACAAAGTTCCTGGAATAATGTTTCTGTTATTTTGTTGATAAGTGTCTTTAGTTGATAACAAAGTTCCAGGAATAATGTTTCTGTTATTTTGTTGATAAGTGTCTTTGGTTTACACAGTTGAACGTTTCACAATATCGAAGTTTGTACACGTGCATGCGTATTTTGCACTTTGTAGTATGAAATGTTAGCTTTCAGTTCGTGTCCCGTATCACCTACGTGCAGATGTTAAAAAATAAAACAACATTTGTTCATGTTTCACACTCCAATCAGATAGCAAAGTATGCCAGTTTTCAGTAATAGTGTTGAAACTTTTAACACCATGCTTGGGAAAAAGTAATATAACTTATTATTCGTCTATTTGGAGTCTTAGAAGACGAAAACAAATAAATAAAACTTAAACATTTAGTAACAAATGAGTAAATTTTGTACGACTTGGCTTCTAGTTTTCTTAAATTATTTCATTCTAATGTTTTTGACACAACACGTAACTTATTTCTTTTGCGAATATATGTTTTCCTTTTATCGTACATTTTTGACGTCATTATCACTTTTTTGTTTTTAAGCGCGAAATCCTTGACACCAAACGACTGGTGTAGAACATTACCCCTTTTTGTGAGTGTAGCCAACGTTAAGGCAACTTGTATACACCCATGTTATTCACACCATATCAAGCGATATGTAATTTTTCATGTAAAACATTCACACCATTATAAAGAGAACGCTGTTGTTTTTGTTTCTGATTTGGCGAATCTCCAAAAATATAAATGATCTTTTAGATAATTAATCCTGTTAATTGCCTTCAT